TACAATCATGTAACGACTACCAAATAGTTCCAGCTGCTTAGTGCAAGCGAACTGTAGATTTTATTGATGCATTTATCAAAAGAATTTTTTATCCAATCAGAATCAAGTATTTTATAGAAATTAAATGATTAACTCGTCATATCAAATGTTATCCAGAATCTTCTATATGTGACATCATAGGTAAGCATATAATGGCAATGTCCATGTTTTGCTATTGGAAACCTAAAATATGTGTCGAATAAAAAAGTAAAATAGGAGGTGCACAATGGCAATATTGAATAAAGATTCTGTGACAGTTTCATTAAATTTCACTCAGTAGTATAAGGGGAGTTGCGGATAAGAAATGGGTACCCCAAAGTGTAACAGACTGATGGATGGACATACAGATGGACAGAAATACCGATTACTATATATCTTCCCACTTTTCAAGAGGGGGGTTTAATTACAGGCCAATATCTATATTAAGACAGTTTTGAGATGATGTACTTTTTGTGTTGTAGCTGATTAAGGATGTGGTGTCAGTGAGTGAAGCTACAGACTGGTCTACACGGGGGAACACGGAGGCCCAGTACAAAGCCCTGAGATGTCAGATATCACACGTCCCTGGGGGTCTCCCTACACCGGTCAAAAACATCCTCAATCTGAAGGAGTAAGTACAAACCTGTATAGTAGTCAGATATCACAGGTACAAACCTGTAACAGTAGTCAGATATCACAAGTACAAAGCCCTCGGATGTCAGATATCTCACATCCCCGGGGGTATCCCCACACCGGTCAGAAACGTCCTCAATCTTAGTAAGTACAAACCTGTATAGTAGTCAGATATCACACATCCCTGAAATAGTAGTCAAATATCACAAGGACAAACCTGTAATAGTAGTCAGATATTACAAGTATAAAGCCCTCAGATGTCCTATATCAAACCTCCCTGTAATAGAAGTCAGATATCACACGTCCCTGGGGGTCTCCTGACACTGGTCAAAAACATCATCAATCTTAAGGAGTAAGTACAAACCTGTGATTTAAGTCAGATACAGGTATGCTGTGTTGGGTCTGATAAAGAGAGTCAAACATGTCTATAATACAGTGCTTTGATGAAAAATTTATTTTATGGAAATATGATGAGTATCTAATATCAGTAAAAAACAATGTGTCATTACCAAGAACATTTTTAGAGTATTGGATAAACTATGGCTGTATCTTAATTGCAATCTGAAAATAGGCCTCGGGGATAATAATAGAGAATGAATTATCAGATTCTTGATATCAACTACACCCGGTGATCAGCATGCCTAAGAAATAATGGATATCTTAATATGCAGAAATTAGCTTTAAATTAGAAAATTTATGTATCGATTTCAGATATCACTGGTAGACTGACTTAGCAGTCTTTTCTGAACAGAATATTGAAGGAAGCTATACAGGTTCAGAATCAATAAACACATGCACCTAATTAATGCATAAAGATATTGTTATCCATAGTGAATAGGGCCTGATTTTTTGTACAGAACACATCTTCATATTATATTAAGCTAACGCTTACTCTTTATTTCAGTGGAGATGATTTAAATGTACAGAACGTTTATGCCGTTCATCGTCCTGGTGAGAGTGAGGTGTTCCGGTCAGACTTGGATTCTAGACTTCTCTTTCATGCATCCAATGTGGAGAATTTTGTAGGAATTCTCTCCAGGTAATGAATGCTAGACATTACCTTTGATACCAGTTGAAGCATTTTCATTTCTGTAATGTTGATGTTTAACATCATTGGAAACTTGATTTGGGAATATGGGATAGAGTGAGCTTACCTGCTATTGATTAAATTTTTCTTGACTAGATCATTATTTTTGCTTTATTAACAATTCAAACTTACAAGCACCCAGTTATTGACTCTCTTAATTGGATATTTATCAGAGGTCTGCTGATGCCAAAGGTCATCGTCGATGACTACGGAGGGAAGAGAACTGACCCTGGAATGCTGGGAAATGGAATCTATTTTGCCAGTTCTGCCAGGTTTGTTTATAGTAATGACAATGTAAGATTTATTTAAAAACAGAAAATTTTTACTTGAAGTGATGTATTTCAATCAAATGCCAGTGTCAGGATGTATATAAAATATTTCGAACAATCTCAAATTGCAAATTTATTATATTTAATGAATAATAAGTACTTTACTCACACTATCGCTTTGAACAGTCACACAATCAAGAAATCAGGGAGGATAAAGGGAATTCTAAAACATTCTTACATTCATTTGAAAGTTATTAAACCATTATTTTCTTCTCAAGTTTAAAGGATAGTTAGCTTAACTGCCATCCAGTCTTTTGAAAGATGAGCTTTAATTGTCACAGTAGGAATATAGAACATAAATAATTATGTCTTAATTAAATAGCAAATTCATGATGTATGTTTTCATTCTTTGTCCAGCACAAGCATAAAGTACTCAAAGCCAAGTAAAACAAGGAATACAAGAATGATGCTGGTCAACCTGGTGGCTTTGGGGAATACCCTGGATGTCTATAAATATCAGAGGGACCTGACTGCGCCCCCCAGTGGCTATGACAGTATTCACGGAGTGGCGGCGACTGAGAATGTAGAATCAGACTTTACGGTATGTTAATGAAGTGATGAGGTTTCCTCCCCAGTTACATGTTATAGAAATGATTTTCTTGTGACTGAAGTAATTTCAATATATTTTTGAAATAGAGTGATGGACGCTTTTAACAAATGTTGAAGGCAAACTGTCATATGCAAAACAAGTACTAGTGTTATATAATGGTGTAACCCCCCCCCCCCCCCTCACACACACACACACAAAAAGAGTGTCCCCACAAACACCCTTTCTTCAGCCTACATACCCCCCTATCCTTTTAAGAATCATTTATTTTCAAAATAAAATTTGAAAAAATAAATCGTCACCCATGCAGTTACAGTTTGATGTTTGAATTGTACAAGTCAGCATTAAGATGACTTCAGCATAAATGTGCATACCAGTGTTACACTAGAGTGAATATCTCTGCCTGCTTAACTTTGATACCTTGTTCCTCTTGTGTACATTTTCTTCTTTTTGTGACAGGATGATGAGTATGTGGTGTACAACACAGACCAGCAGATGTTGAGTTATCTGGTGGAGTTTACCGTCGGAGGGGAGGTACCAGGGGAGTTATCAATGGAGGAGGAAATAGAAAGGGAGACAACTGACTCAGACTCGGATGTCGGTTAGTTCATTTGTTTGATCTTTTGTTATACAATATGTCATGTACCCTATAATTTTATTATATAATTTTGCTAAATATACATGTGCAATTCAATATTGTTTGATAAAATTTTAAAATTGTCTCTAAAGGATTAGTAAAAAGTGTTCATTGTGCCCTCTGACATTCATAAAAATCTCTTCATGATGAGAGTGAATATATATACAATAATTTGTTCATTTTTCAGATATCAGTGATGTGAAAAATGTGACTGACCCTCTGACCAAGGTCAAGGTTGGACTGGTATCCAATGACGACACACCTGTGTCCCTCATAGAAGCCCACATTAGAGCCAAACTGATTGACCTGGCAGGGGAGGTAATGCAAGCCAAAGTGAATTAGTCAAACGTGAACATCCTTTCTTATTAAGTTCCTATTATGTTTTATCAGATTACTTTGCAATTCCTTGTTTTACATTTTATAGATACTCAATATGCAAAGATACTTGGATTCAAATATGACTCCATTTATAAACATGAATTAAGTATTGTATATAACCTGGTTTGTGTCAGTTTACGCTTTATAATCTGCGAAGCTTTTTAGATATTAACCAATCAGAGGCTAGATTATGTCAAACAAAGTGAAATTATTTGATTAATATTTGCAAGTTTGTTTGTTAAATACCTATTCTTCTGTATGAAAACAACAGGTAGTGGTTCTACAAGAGTACCACAACAGTAGTGATAAAGCTCTGGAAGCTAAATACGTCTTCCCTCTGGATGACATGGCCGCGGTCTGCGGATTTGAGGCCTTCATTAACAGTAAACACATCATAGGGGAGGTGAAGGAGAAAGAGACCGCCCACAAAGAATACAAACAGGCCATAAAGGAGGGGCATGGGGCTTATCTAATGGACCAAGATGAGGAAACTCCAGTAAGTCAGAAATCATGGGGGAAAATCATGAATTCAAATTCCTTGGGCTTTTTCTCACTGTTGCGGGTGAAAAGCAAACAATTACTAGGTACATGCATTGTCAGTGAGTTTTATTTGTTCTCTATATTCCAATGAACAGAGAACCTTTAATTAACAAGGATTAATAATAAGATTTTAATTTCATAATTTAAGATTTGTGTCTTTATATGTCTCATAATGATTTTATAATGATGATGAGCATTTGTTATCATGCATTTTATTGAATTATGAATATACCAGGTATATTCCTTTAAGTTTTTCGCTGAAGTAATATGATAACCTGTACATAGTTTAATTGTTGGAGTAAAATGGGAGCTTAACCCCTTCACTTCCGTACCGGTCAAATTGACCGGTGGCGCATTAAAACACGACTTCGCGAAAATAAGATCTCCGTATCTATTTAATGGTAGCATGAAGGTATATAAACTATATCTCATCTTTTTGTAAATTTTCTCTACTTTTAAAATATCTAAAAAGATTATGTCTTGATTGCCGGTATTTAATCGATTTTACGTTGTAAAGACAAACGTGACTTTTTGAAAATGGTGTAATTTTCCAAAGCGATTGCCGATTTTCCAGACGATTGACAATTTTTTCCTGTTTAACTTTATGTAGAAAGTATGGTATATTCTTAAAGCATATTTTCTCTACTTTTAAAGTATCTAAAAATTATTGTTATTACTTTAAGGTATATTTTAAAAACAAGAATTTTCTTGCACTTATGTGTTTTTTCTCGGTTTTATTCGTAATGTTTAAACAAAGCTCAGTTTTACGTTTATTTCTGTGTTGAAATAGGGAAAACAAAATAACGCTGGTAAAAGTGGAGAAAATTTCCTTTCCAACAAGCCCTTACAGGCCTTCTTACGCTCAGTATTTTCTTAATTACGATAATTTGAATTTGTGACCTTCGCATAGTTTTTATGGAAAAATCGGTCAATATTTACCATGTAACGTCAAGGTCGATATTGTTGCGTCTTACTCGAAACAACAAATTCTTTCATAAGACTTTTTTGACCATTTTTTACTGAAATAAATGCATAATACAAAAATACATTTAAAAAAAACAAATACTTACTATCGTTCTGCCTTTTGTGTGAAATGAAATGTCAATTTATTCATCCACATGTAATGATGAAAATTTCATGTAGTGATGTACAATGTTGAGAAAAATTGTAGATTCCCTAAACGTCGATCTTTACTAAAAAAAAATCAGATTTTAATATAGTTGTATCTTGTTATATTGTATACTTAATTTGCAAATTAATTAGATCTATATTAGCACGAAATTTAACAAAACAAGAATTCGCATTTATAAATAAATACGACTCATCACTGTATGAGTTGATACGAATTGAAATAACCACGTGTTTCCGCTATGGTAGCAGTAAACAAACAACATGACGGTGATCCGAAATCTGAACGTCAATTTTCATGATTATTTCACGACGAAGATCATCACATCAATGAATCAAATAAATACGGACATCCTTTGGTATTAGCAGGTGAGAATACGTGTATATTGACTGAATAGTTTAAGTTTAAAACGCAATTAGTTCACGTTCAAAAGAAAACTAAATGTAGACATGTACATGTACTAGATCTTCATATTTCAGTGTGCGTATTTCGTATTGTTCAGCCAATTTTGTGTTGCTTTTGAACTTTGATGCTTTTGACAAACACTCATAAGTTCAAAGTAAAGTCAAAGTTGCCATTGTATTAAATAGATAGTTGTTTTCAGTATGTGTGTACCAGTGTGTACATATACCACTTTCACTTTGAATTTTTAGGGTGCTGGCAACATATGCAACAATACTTTCATCTGTGAATACCCACTTGCTAAGCCCACCATGATCTACGAATGCCAATTAATATGTAAGGACACCAATGAACAGGTAAATTTTTGTTTTGTTGTTGAAAATTTCTGTATTTCTAAAATTTCAAAAAATAAAGTCAAATTTGTGTCATTCTCATGATAAATCATTCATACGAGTTTATAAACATTTGATTTATATTTTGAAAAATAAGTGTTTGAAACACATAATACTTATGATGCTTGATTATTCATACAAACACATTATTTAAACACGTAATATCTATTTGAATGAATGCCGAGATATGAAACAAGCTGTTTTTATAGACTGCTGTTGTATTTCCAATCTGCATAAAGTTTGTGGTTAGAATTTCCATTTTCTCATTTTTTCAGACACTTTCCAATTATCGTACATCATATATATGGGTGGTCAAACTCACTGGATGGTTTATCAACACTCCCATGCTCACGAACAGCCTTGCCCCAGGAATTTTGCCCTGAAGTAACATTACAGTCTATTGTCTCCCTTCTTTTTACAACCCTGGCAGCCATGCAGGTATGCAATCTATGAAAGCCATGAAGGGACATAGAATTTTTTAAAAATTTATAAAAGTAAACCGAGTTCTCGATTTACACAATCCATTCTCTCGGATTGACAATCTGTTATAACAAATTGCCAATTCATATTCTCACAGATTATCTTCCCTCAAATTACACAATCCATTATCTCAGATTGTATAATTCATTCTCTTAGTTTAATTGACACGTTCCCTCGGAATGTAAACCCTTCCCATGATTTCATTAAAATTATTTATCTGTACATATCGGATATGGTACATGTTTAAAGAATAGAATATTGTAGTATTTTACATCCAACCTTTTATTACATATTACCATATTACCAAAATGAGAAAAATACATGAACATTTTCAAATCCATTTGCTAGTACTGATATTTGTACAACAAAAAATCTTAGAGGTTTTTGGTTACGTGTATATTAAGATAATTGAAAGTCCGATATAGTAAAGTGAATATGGGTCCTGTGTAATCATAATATTTCTAAAATAAATATACGTTGAATTAGTTATGAAAGAGGTTGGAAATGACCGATTGCTGTAACAAAATAAAAAGAAGTGAACGCACTAATTGATTAAAATAGTTGGATGTATCTGTACATATATGTAATAAAATTCAAGAGCACAGATTGCCAAAATCATAGGACTGACGTTGTAACAAATCGAGATCTCGAATTATTAATCTGTGAAAACGAATTACCAGTATGTAATTCGAGATCTCAAATTATGAATCAAGGGGGCGAATTAGTAATCTGTAAGATCGGATTGTGTAATTCGAGATCTCGAATTATAAATTGAGGGAATGATTTAGTATCCTTGGAATTGGATTGTCTAATTTGAAATTTCATTTTCTACTTTTTTGAAAAATTGCTGTGTCCCTTCATGGCTTTCGTAGCAATCTAATTAAAATTAGATCTTCCATCCACTGCCAGATTTTTTTTACATATTGCGATAGCGTAAACAGAGGTCTGGCTTTAGTCAGATTGCCATATATGCTATTTGTTTTAGTTCAGTAATTTTACCATAATGGTTTACTACAAGGTTGTTGAATTATCAGTCCTGATACATTGACTTAACAATATCATTTAACTACTTGAATCACACAATAGATGCAATCTTAATTTTAAAAGGAAAATCAAATAAATGTAGTAATTTTAGCATTCTTAATTTTATTTATAAATGTAAATTCATATACACAATGGCATGTATCTGTTTCAAAATATTTAAATCTTTTACAGGATAGAAGCTGATCACTTGAACTTGAAAGCAAATTATAATGTCTTGGACAAGTCAAAGAATTTCCTCCAGTCTTACAGAGAAGTAACAGTTGATAAGAGAATGGTGGACACAAAGTAAAAGTGCTCTTCAACATTTTGTTGAAGATTTCAGTCTGATTTGGAATTCATCTTGCAATATATCTGGATTTGTATATTTGGATATAAGCATCAAATTTTCAACTTATTGACTAAACAGTTTTGGGCTAAATATTGCCAATGCTATTTATTGTTATTATTTCCCTCCAAGATAACATGTCAAGTCTTTATTGTACCCCTTAAGCTCAGTTATACCAGAAAAATCTTGTAATGAAATCATTTAGTTTTTTTTTCTTGTTAGATTAAATCCATGAAAATAAAGATTATTTTTAATGGCATCAAGAGAATGGATTTCTTGTTTAACAAAAAGATTGTATACATGTTTTGCTAGGGGTTTGTAAGAAGCAGACCAGAATTCTTTGCTTGCAAATTTTGTCGTTCGCCATTTTTATTACATCAACTATTAGATGATTTATCCATGTATGAAGCATTTCAAAATTGATATTTACTTACAGTTTAAAGCAGAATTCTGTACTGATATGACCTTGACCCCCTGAAGAACAAGAGTGTCAAGGTCAATTTTTTTAATACAAAAATGTTCTTTCATCTTTATGGCCCATATATATCTTACAAACAATATCATGAAATATACAAAAAGTGTCTAGAATGTGTCCAGAATGTGAAATAACAAACATGTATATAGCCAAAACCTTTAAAATGTTGTTGCTTAGCAACCACTAAAAGGTCATTAAACAGATATTTGAACTAAAATGATGCATGGATATTGCAGTTCTGATCCCTTTTTGAGAGTATATTCAGAATTTTCCATTTCAGCATCCATTGTGTAAAATTATGGCAAGAATATTGAAAAGTGTTGAAAAAAGTTGATGAAATTGTTGCACTTATTTGACCTTTGACCTCCTAAAAATAGATCTAATGAGGTCAAACTTTAACACAATTTACCTACTGTATGTCCCTTGTAATTTTATGACCTCACATCTAACTTTAATATGTGCTTGGATGCATAAATGTATCTAGATTGAGTAAAAAATGAAAATTTCTGCCCGAAAATTAAAGAATTCTGCATTGCTTAGCAACCCCTTTTAAGTAGTTATATGCAGAATTGAAAAAAAAGTTTATGTGTTTCGTGTACTACAGTATAATGCTCTTTTGTGGGTATATCCCAAATTTCCTATTTCAACATACATAATACTTAATATTTAGCTTGAAGATTAAAAAGTATCAAAAAATTCCATAAAATTTTGCACTTAATTGACCTTTGACCTCAATTTTTTCTAATAAGGTCAGTGGTTGAGCATCTAAATAGTCATAAAATATCATCTCTATGTAATCCCCTTCAAAATGGTATGAATTATGCCTTGCTTTCACCTAGGATAAAAAAGTTAGAAGTAATTTTGTAATGACATGTCAAAAGGCCTCCAAAAACACGTAAAATGCGCCGGAAGAGAAAGGGTTAATGTATCCGCTTCTTTGGTCTATTTATAGGAGGTATTCACAGTGAGTGTGGGAAACCTCCCCCCTAAGGCTACCGTCATCATTAAGATAACCTACGTCACAGAGCTGCAGGTCGACGGGGAACTCATCAACTTCCGACTCCCGGGCAGCGTGGCGCCATGGAAACAGAAGTATGTCGACGCCCCAGAATTCAAAGACAAGGTTTGTGCATTTTAAAGGAAAAGGAATGAATATCTGCAGTTTTTTTAATAGATTAATTGATTAAATTCATTGAAAAACATTGATTCAGAATTGTGCTTTTGTATGAGAACAGGTGATAATACTAATGAAGTCAAACTATAGACTGAAATGTTATTGAGTATTTTTTCAGAAAGTTTGGTTTTTATTTTGTCATGTTGATATAACTTGTTCCTTTTTCATGTGCGTGGTAAATCATACTTCATTGTTTAATTGATACACAGTGCTAAATGATATGAGGAATGATTATATTTGATTTCTGATTTTCCTCCTCAGGACTGGGATACAGTACAGGTTGAGGACACAGACTGCAGTGTACAGGTTTATGTCGACATGCCTTTTGACATCAGAAGTCTGGAATGTCCAACTCACAAAATACTTGTAAAGGTAAAACCATCTCTATACATTTCGGTGAATGTTAATGAAAAGTACAGAACAAGTGTACTGTTGTATAAGACCTTTGGCATTGTATTGTTATTTTCAAATCTGCACTAAGATAATAGTTCACTTACTTAAAACATACATGTACTTGATGATATCGATACCTTAAAAATTATGACAGATATAATTTTTTTTTTGTCAAGAACTGTGCAGATTTTTTCTGTGGTTAATAAGTACAATGAGTACGACCTGATGTGTACGCCGTGGCTCATAGAGAATAAGTTAGTAGTACAATGAGTACACTAGGGGGTTAGTACATTTTAGGAATTTGTAAATTGTATTCTGTAGAGAACGGCCACTAAAGCCATGGTGGAGATGAAGGAGGACCAGACAATAGAAGATGGCTTCCAGCTTCTGATTGGTCTAGCTGAGATCCACGTACCAAGGATGTGGGTGGAATCAGACGAAGGCCAAGATTCACAGGTATTCTATTAAAGTTGTGTATTATTTTACCTTGGGCTTATTATTTCATTTGAAAGATAATAAGGTTGATAAATGGTTAAAAGCCGTAAGTACAACTGCAAGTAAAAGGAATTTAATTAAACTTACCCTTTGAAATTGATCATATTTATTTGATCAAGAGGATAATGATGATTTATTGTAATATTTTTATAAAAAGCTAAAATTAGATAGAAGACATATACTTTGCATTTGTGTCAACTTCCTTTTTCAGCAAAGCATATATTAACTTCAAATACATGAATGGTACAATTCTGCAGAAAGTCTCAAGATAAATACATTTTGGTTTATTTGAATTGAAATTTTAAATGACACTGAGGCTAGTCTCACAAAATTTTTACTGAGTTTTAATATTCTGTAAGTTAATCACCGTTAGATTAATCATTGAAATGTTTACTTATTTAATTATCAGGCCTGTATGCTGACCTTTTACCCTGAGTTTGAGGCAGAGGAGGAGTCAGAGGTCGAGGTCATTTTGATGATTGACAGCTCCAACTCCATGAAAGGCTCAGCCCTCCAACAAGCGAAGAAAACTGCTCTCCTGACCCTGCACCTCATGGAGTCCAGCTGGAGGTTTAATGTCTTGTCTTTTGGAACAGGTAAAATTTGGGAAATGATTTTAGACAAAATAGAATTAATATACATGTAGTTAAAAAAAAAAAACAGAAATAGCAATCCTACATGTAATGAGTATAATTATGCTTACAGCCAAGTGATTTTCATTCCATGACTTAGGAAAAAATAATATTTTTGGATGTAAGAAATTAAGTTTTTAACAAAGTTAAAATATTTTTTGGCACAGGTTATTTGCATAAATGATTTTTTTAGTTGCTAAAGCTGTTCATAGTTTGTCTGTTGATAGAAATTGTTCCAGATAATTTTCTTTCCCGGACCTGTACATCTTTTATTAAGTTAAACATGAATTATATAGAAGTATTTTAAATCTTAAGTTTGGAATTCAAGTTATCATTCTGTTGAATTTTGTATGTTGCAGCTTTCCAAGAGCTTTTCCCATCCAGCCAGCCCGCCAGTAAATTCAACATACAATCTGCAAAACAGTTCATACAGGCAAGACATAAAAATTTTAAAACACTAACCACTTGGATCAGTGACAAAATAGTTACAAAAGTACTGCTTGTATAGGGCCTTTATTAATTAATTTATAATGTTTTCTTTTGATTTCTCTTTCAGAGGCTGCAAGCAGACGAGGGTAACACAGAACTTTGCCGACCTTTAAACTCTTACTACCTCCTAAAACCAGAGAGTTACACCAGGAATATCTTCCTTATTTCTGATGGGCATATCAACAATGAGGAGACAACTCTGTCCAAAATCTCCCAAAATTACCAGCACACCAGGGTCTTTACATTAGGGGTCAGGTAATGTCAAAAATTATTTTTAAAGAATTTGTATGAAAAAAATATCTGACAGTGTACATGTACATATACATAAACTAAGTAACATTGATTAGCAGGAGGGATAGCAAAAGTTAAATATTTAGATATTTTAGCATAAATAATAAAATTTAATCCAGTTACTGTTTTGTATAAGCATAATGATAAGTTTATTGCTCTTGTATCAAATTTACAGCTCTGTTGCAAATCGTCACCTACTGAAAGCTGTGGCCAGAGTAGGAGCTGGGTCATTTGAGTTTTATGACTCCAAGTTCAAATCCAAGTGGGAGGAAAAGGTGAAAATATTATTTCTTGAAATTTAAATGAAATTTTTTTTTAAGATATTATGGCTGTGTTTTCCCCCTCCCTATCCCATTTCCCTCTTTCTCTTCGATTATCCCACATTTCCTATTTTTAGGTCAAGTCGCAGTTACAGAAAGCTGCCCAGCCAGTGCTGACCTCTGTGTCTGTTGATTGGCGCCATGACGACCAGCACCCTGCCCCCATCCAAGCTCCACAGCAAATAACAGCTCTGTTCAGTGGGTCCCGCCAAGTCATCTACGGCTTTGTGGACAACTGTTACATGGTTTGCATTAGATGACTATAGTTTTTAAAAAATTACTTGGTATATAGACAAATTTCACATTCCTTAGAGTTATCTCCCGTTGTCAGTGTAACGCTCATTTTCCCCTCTTTGTTCTTTGTAGGTTACCTGTTAATATTTTTAAATTTCAAACGTTATATGACAATTTAGACCTGTACCTGTATTGCCAGAGTATGGGGCAACATAAAAAACATCATGAGCATATTCATATAAATTTTATTTTTAGGATACTGACCCATAAAGTTGGTTAGGTTATAGACTGAGGTAAAATAGCGTCTTACGCAGGTTGACCCTGGATTGACTCCGCAAAGGGGAATAACTTTTGTAAATGTGAAAGTTGTCTATAGGATGACTCATTGTTGAAGTTAAATAATGTATTAAATTTTTTTGGTCGTGCTAATTTGTAAATATACAGGGACCATTATTTGCGAGACAACGTACCAATCAAAGAAAAGTGCTTTGTCTATTCAATATTTTGTGTTTTTGTTTAGTGGACATATTTTGTGTAATATCGATATTCTAATTTTAAATTAATGACATATTGTATTGATTACAATTTCAGGCAACTCTGAAAGCAGAAGTCGGAGGTCAAGAGATATTAACTGTTGTGTCGACCTCTGACCTTAGTGTCACAAAGGGCAAGGTCAGTTTCACAATTCACAGATAAATACAAATAATAATAAAATCACCTTCAGGCTGATAGAATGTCAAGCTTTTTGTAATAAATTACAACAATTGTTACCCTCAAGATTTTATGACATCCTTTCTGATGATTTTTATTTTCCTTTGAATTCAGTAGGGCTTTTGATGAACCGTTATATAGAATATTAGCCACTACTTCTGATTTATTTTTAGATGCTGCACAGGCTGACTGCCAAAGGTGTGATTAGAGATTGGGAAGATGGAGTTCTCTCCCCTGATAGAACAGGACATGAGGTAAAAAAAAAAATCAAAAATAGAAATTGCTTTTTATTGCAATTGATATATCATTTCCTTAGCCAAAGCATCTTAAAATGTTAAAAACATTATTTTACATATCTCTTTAATGCAAAAATTATGTATTAAATAATATTTCCAAAGTACTAGTTTGTCCAAACTTTTGTATTACAATTGACATGTATTTGATGGTAATAAATATCCAAAATGTATTATTTTATACAGTGTGTATTTTTCTGAATTTCAGGTGAGGAAAATGAACCTGAAGCAGTATATTATAGAGTTGAGTAAGAAGTACGCCATTGTCACGTCACTCACCAGCTTTGTCGCCATTGAGAAACGAGAAAAGGTATTACCTCTGAAATCTAGTTATTATTGATACTGACCTTTTAAAGCAAAAATCATTTTTTGTTAATCTAATTTCCATATTGCATTGTATTGCTACAGATATCACATTTAGGAAAACAACAGAATCTGATTAGGACACTGTAAACAGGGTTATTTTTGCCCCATGTTATTTTTCGCTTTTTCACACTTGCAAACAATTTTGCCCTGTTTTAAATTCACCCAGTGACAATTTCGTGTAAGAAATAATCATGATTTTACTGTATTCTTTGAATTTGCCCCTTTAAATTTGCCCAAATGAGGGTAGGACGAAAAAGGAGAAAATAAAATGGGGGCAAAAATTTCCCTGTATACAGTAATCAATGTTTTTTTAGATTATTGTACAACATTTCTTTATTATGATTTTACAATATGAAAGTCCTTTTGAGATTTTAACTTTATAATTATCAAAACTGAGAACATCGACATTTAAATGTAGGCACTTCCTCCTTAGAATATTGACTCCTTTTACCTTTAAATCTTTTAGTATCTAATACCGTATAAGTGGAAATTTTAGCGAGACGCAAATTTAGCGATTTCACTATAAAAATTGGTAGTTTATTTTTAGCGAGAAGTAATATTAGCAATTTCATCAAATGCTCACTACAGAAGCTATTACAAATAAAACACAAGTAATTTTAGCGATATTCAATTTTAGCGATCGCATCACCCTCGCTAATAATGCCAAAATTAAAACCTCGCTAAAATTTCTACTTATACGGTATTCTAGCCATTGAACACCTACATGCACAAGATTTTATTTTGAAATTCACAATTCCTGTAACTTGTTAATGAACCCCTGGATTAATTAATTTGTAGGATGAGGTGATTCCCGAAGATGCTCCAGATGTCTGGGACCTCCTGGAAAATGAGGACGTGGATCAGCTGAAATATTTATCATGGGAAGGAGAGGAGGTACATGTAAATTTGATAGAACTCACAGAAGAAGAAGTCACATGACCCGTGAATTATATTTAATATAGAAATTTAAAATTTATAGATTGTTTGATAAGATTTCATTATTTCTAATTTTGTTCATATTTTACGAATTTTCTAAATTTTAAGTTTTTAAGATCAAGTGAGCTTTTCTGATCACATTTTGTCCGTCCGTCTAGCTGTCCATCTGTCTGTCCGTCTGTAAACTTTTCACATTTTCCACTTCTTCTCAAGAACCACAGGGCCAATTTTGACCAAACTTGGTACAAAGCATCCTTGGGTGAAGGGGGATTTAAATTCTTAAAATAAAGGACCAAGTCTCGTGACGAGTGGAGATAATCAAGAAAAGACAAAAATAGGGTGGGGTCATAAAAAATTCAAGAACCACTGGTCCAGAAAAACTGAAACTTATGTGGAAGCATCCTGGGATAATGTAGATTAAAATTGTTCAAATCATGACCCCTGGGGGTAGGGCCGGGCCACAATGGGAAATCAAAGGTTTACAGAGAAATATATAGGAAAAATCTTTGAAGATCTTCTTCTTCTTAAGAACCACTGGGCCAGAAAAGCTGAAACTTATGTGGAAGCATCCTGGGGTAGTTAAGTTTCTAAATTGTTCAAAACATGACCCCTGGGGGTAGGGCTGGGCCACAATGGGGAATCAAAGTTTTACATAGAAATATATAGGAAGAATCTTTGAAAATCTTCTTCTCAAGAACCATTGGTCCAGAAAAGCTGAAACTTATGACAGTGGAAGAATCCTGGGATAGTGTAGATTCTAAATTGTTCAAATCATGACCCCTGGGGGTAGGGCGGGGCCACAATGGGGAATCAAAGTTTTACATAGAAATATATAGGAAAATCTTTGAAAATCTTCTTAAGAACCACTGGGCCAGAAAAGTTGAAACGTATGTGGACATGGAAGCATCCTTGGGTAGTGTAGATTTCAAAATGTCTAAATTATGATCAGTGGGGGTAGGGTGAGGTCGCAATATGTATTAAAAGGTGGACTTCTGGTGAAGAACAGAATGGTTAAAGCTTCTCAGGTGAGCGATGTGGCCCATGGGCCTCTTGTTTTTATTTTTGTTGGATAATCATACAATACAAATTCACATGCTACAATTCAGACAAATAGTCAAATATATTGACTTTTGATTGCTCTGTTTACCTTGTAATACAGAGGGCTCATGAGGAGTATATATTAACTTATTGACCAGGGGATACTTACTTGTCTTAGGCAATATTAATTGCTGCAAAGCATGTATTTTTCTTTGGATTTGTTACATGTGTAAGAGTGTTTCTTCAGGTGTGAAAAAATCTGCATCACAGATTAAGTTTAGACTGTCAAATCGCAAAGAAAAGATGACAATAATTGTTGGTTTACAGTACTGTAGATTCCTTTATATTTTTCACTAGTACTAATTTTCACGAATGTCAAATTGATCAAGAAATTTTACACAGTTTTCACCACAATAAAAATAAAAGAAAGAAATTTTATTTTCAAGTGAATGTGATGCTTCTCGCAAAATTACTCAATAATGTTAATTCCATATAATAATTTAGGAATCTACAGTATGTAATGGCATGAATATTTAACACCTGTTTCCTTTACCAACAGAAAAATAGGAGACCAATAAAAAATCAGCGTGAACGAAGATATATACAGCAAAACTTGGTTATAAGGAGTCACTGGGACCTATGAATTTACTTTGCTATATATCCGTAATTTGTTATAACGGTTATTACCGTACAAGAAATTCATTTAATTTATTTAAACAATGAATCATTGTTTTTTGAAAGATGTAGTCTCATAACTGCAATGGTGTGTGCAAACAAATTGAGTATCACGTGTTAGCGCGTTATGAAAATTTGTTTGCACACGCCGTTGCAGTTATGAGGTTATATCTTTCAAAAAATAATTATTCATTGCTTATTTTTACATTTTTTAACTTTCAACCTTAACTGCAAATAAGATTTCTTTTAAAAACCTATGTATTATCCTTCGTGTAAGCTACAATTAAAGGATCAGCAAACGTTACAGCTTATGGTCAATTTGAGCGTGATTTTTTAATTTTTGCTTGTGACGTTGTACTTTCTCCATGTTCAACGATTATGACGTCAAACTAAAACACAAACTGAAGCCTCTTGGCACCCTGTTCGTGTTATGGTGTTTTAAATGCAATAGATTTCAACTCTCTTTATAATTACATCTGTATGCAAAAAACATATGTAATGTAAATATAATAGCTGGGGATCCAAGATGACCTCACTATATCTGTAAATTTGCAATATCCGTGTTCGTACTGTACGAGTTTTGCTGTATTTATATTTTTTTTTCTGCCTAGAATGAGAGTTCAGAGAGTTCAGGGGCTTCAAGCGATGAAGGAGAGATGGAAGAAGAATATTCGTCGGTAAATTTTATTTTCATTAAATGTGAATCCAAGATGGAAGTTAAAATAATTTTTGTTTGATCTTCAGCAACTCTTGAAGAATTGCTATTGCATTGAGCTTTCACTGTACATTAATTTAAGTTCAAACAACAAAAATATTTCAGTTTTTTATTAACAATAAAAATTTACTGAAAAAGACTTAAAAGTTAACATCATGTAAGGCAAGATTTTGGAATACACGACATTCAGATTAGACGAGCTTCATCATACAACTAGTTATAATATTATTGTAAAAGGGACCCGTTTCAGATGTTCCTTAAACGCTCCATAACTCCCTTTTTGGTGCCATTTCCAATAAACTTAAGTAAAGAAGACAATCAAGTTTAATGGTTGTTTTAGGCCTAACCGCAGGTATAGGCGTGTGCAGGATGACCATGTCACTAGTCTAGATACAATAGATACATCATTCTTATAATATCTTAGTATCGAAACATTTCATAAAAGAAATATTAAGTTATGGCTATATCATGTATATTTGTCATTTAAAGCACTGTATGTGCCTTTGTGCATGCAAAATTTTGTTCCGATAAGTTTGAAACCAAGAAAGTTATATACCAGGGTAGGCATTAAAAAGTTGAAGCCAATCAGATTGCAGCACACCTGCATGTGTGTGACTGTTTTCATAAGACTCTTATATCATGTAGTAGAAGCTTGTGATGTATGAAGTTCTAAGTTTCAAAGTATTTTGTCAGAAAACAAGAAGGATATTGAGACTTTTGTTTCAGCCAATAAGAGTGAGGCACACGTACATGTGCATGTGTCCAAGGCATGCTCTTTTGACCATGTCCTCCTGTCTACACTATTTTATCTTTCTTTGTTTTTTTTTTGTTGTTGTTCTACAGGAATTGTTGGTTCAATTTAAACATAATATTTGATTTATTTATTAGATTAAGATATTTCTTTACTTAAGGAATGAATCTAATAGCTACCCAAATTATACTGTATAATCTTTGTTTGGACATTTTAATGATTTAATACGCTTTATAAACCACAAAGAGGTGTATTAAAAAAAAAAGCTTTAACTGTTCCAACCCAGATTATACCTGGTCCAGTATAGCTTGGGTAGCTATTAAATTAATTCCTTATAATTTAATTTTATCATTAAGTTCAGAAAATAATACAATTTCTTCTTCCAAAATGTCTTCAAATTGTGCATATTTTAAATGTAACGTCAAGCAGAGTACCAATACGTTTTTGACTTAAGTCATTGTGACATTCTCAACACAGGTTATTTGATATAGATTAATTTTTTATCCAATAAAATGATGCATTACAAATGAAATTAAATTATAAAAAGTTAATTTAACCCATGTTTATTTTTATTTCATTTCCAGGGTGATTTATTTGATGATGCATACATGTACAAAGCCTTTGAATTTGCAGAGTCTTCTGAATCCATAGTATGTTAAGTTGTTTTCATGTTCCATGATTATCTTTATCTTTAGAAACCTTTTAAGGGGATGAAGGATGTATGGTCATGTGACTCAGTTGATTTACATCATAATCTCTGATAAAATATGTATAAAACGAGATTGAAACCACAGTACTTGTATAATTTTTTTGACTGTTTGTTTGCGTTCACCATCTAGTATAAAAATATCTGAAAACATTCAAAATTTCTTGCAAATATTATCAAATTACGGAATAGATTAATCCACTCTGCCGTTTCCCTACTCTGCGCGTCCAGTGCGTCTTTGACGTCATAGTGCATCTCTTAGTTCAGTAAGATCATACACGGTAAAAACGGGTAGTATAAAATCATAAAAATGGGCCATAATATGTACATGGTAGGGTATTTTGTAAATTTCAGAACGCAAAAAATATTTTTACATGGTTGTTGACGGAAAAGTTCTGTGGGTTTGTCTTATTTCGCTTATTTCAGGAATGTGTGACGTCATAGTTGGGTTTTCCCGTACTCGAGAAATGTAAACATGACACGTTTTTCTCATGATCATGACTCGTTTAACTTTGCCCCGTGCAATATTGAGCTCAGCTTCACCAATCAATATTTTTACAGTTAATTATTACAATGACGAACTTGCATTTCAACGTAATTTTTCAAATATTGAATGATAGGATTTTTTGCAAATTAATTTTTTTATGGT